CCATCTATGGAGGTCACGTGGTCCGATGACAAGCTCAGATATCAGAATAATAGCTATAACTGCCATTTTTGTGGTAATACAGATTATATTACATTTCTATGAATTGTTTACGTTTTTATAATTACACCATATCTAGTGAACAATTTTTTTTTCCCTGTTCCATTTTGATGCAATTTTACATAATGCTCAACAGTGAAATCACCAACAAATTTTCATTTATAGTACTGGTAATATGGACAAACAGAATATGGATAATGTGTGTGTGTGTGTGTGGGGGGGGGGGGGGGAGATAATTACTTGATCACTTTACTAGAAATCGGTCCAATAATAGTATTACTCCTCCAGGGTAAGATCAATTTTGATCTTAAAAGCAGAGTCAGTCCATGTTAAGACCATTTCTATTACAATTTAGGCCACGTAAAATCATTTGTGATCTGAAATTACAGATTCAGGCCATTTCAGGCACACAAGTGAACTTCCATGACAGTGCACCTAGAGATGGTGTGAGCTGTATTTACAGTTCAAGTAGAGACTTCAGAAGATAAAGAGCAAGCCCCACCATACCTGTGTCTTCACTGCAAGATATTTACACTGTTACAGTAGTTAAAGCTCTCACTGAATCCATCAACCTGAACTGACTACCTACTCCAAAGCCTAACATCTTCACTGGTGAAAATAAAACTAAACACATTCTTAATTCATAATACATAGTCAAATACAAAAACAAACTGCTGTGGGCTCAGACGAGTGACAACTGGGTCACTGATAAGATAACCGTTATAACTCTGCTGAACACACATATACATAGTTCATTCTCCCCAGCCAGTTTACTGCTGAAAAAAGATAACTGCTCTACATAGAACAGTTAGCTACATGTCCCCAAGATGGCTACACCTCGCTATGACAGAGATGAAGCCAAAATAACTGAATATTTTGTCAGCTGTCCGTTATGCCTTGAGGAGTACAAAGACCCAACAGATTTACCATGTAGGCATACATTTTGTAAAGGTTGTCTGAAGACCTATATTTCAAACTCAACACCAGGAAGTAAATTCCGGTGTCCTGTGTGTCAGAAAGAGACTGAAGTTCCTAAAGATGGACTTGAGGGCTTCACTCACAATTTCTTCATTGAAAGCTTGCAGGACACTGTACTTCAGTCAACACATAAGAAAAAGTGCAGATCTTGTGCTTTGGTGTCCCAAACTGAAACAGTGGCTACTTCAAAATGTATCACCTGCAATGACTACCTATGCGGCAGATGTTCTCCATTCCACTGTGCTACCACACTCACTAAAGACCACAGGGTACTCACTTTTCAACAACTTCACGGCAGTGAGTATCAAAAAGAAATCCAAGAGCAGCAGAAGATTATCTGCCCAGAGCACAACGGTGAGATGATACGATACTTTTGTTCAGACTGCAATGTCCCCATTTGTCGTGATTGCAAAGATCTACACCATGATGGCCACAAACTTATCTCCCTTGAAAAAGCTGCAGAGATTGTAAAACCAAAACTTCAGACAAAATTCTGTGGCATGGAGAAAAACTTTGAAATGGGTGAGAAAACAATAGATAAAATTGATGAAATATTGGCAACCCTCCAAGAAAATGAAAGCTTTGTTCAGCAGGAGATCAAAGCTCGTGCAGCTCATCTACGTCAACTGGTAGATCAACGAGAGAAAACCTTACTACAGGAGCTTCATCAAACCACCAGCACTCAAAGAAATAATTTACAAATTTCCCGCAAAAACTGCAGTGCCACTTGCTCCTCTATCAAAACCACAACAGCTGTAGTAAAGAACATCCTTCAACGTGGTGCCCCCATAGATGTCCTCATGTTACAACACCAACTTGGGCAGAAACTAGATGAGCTACAGTCCACTTCAGCTGTGGATGATATCCCAGAGGAACTAAAACTAACACTCACTACCAACACAGAAGTGGACCAAGAGATATCCAGTGGGGCTGGCCTGGGGAATGTGCAGATATCTACACTACCAGCTGTGGCCAAGTTCAAACCACAGGCTGAATGTATGCTGGAGTTTGACACTGGCTGTGGGACGGCAGAGGACATTTCAGTGAGTCCAAACAGGGAGTATGTTACTACACATGGTGGAAGGAACAAGATCAATGTTTTAAGTTCAGATGGTACATTAAGACAAGAGATCAGAAGTATCTCAGACACACAGTTGAAATGTCCAGCAGGGATCTGTCACTTCCCTGATGGAAGGATGGTTCTATCTGATAGAGACAATAACAAACTGTTTATCCTGTCACCACAATGGGAAGTACAGCAAACTGTAGATATCAACTACCCATGGGGTGTGGCTCTCAATAACAGCTGCACTAAGATTGCTGTGGCACATGGTGGTGAAAAGTCTGTGAGTGTGTTCAGTATTGATATCAAAGGGAAAATAACTTTAACTGATGTGATAAAGAACAAAGATGGGGAGCAGTTGTTTAATTTTCCATATAAAGTGGCATATATGAGCAATGGGTGCCTTGTTGTTAGTGATATATCACAAAAGAAACTTCATATCCTAACTCCATCTGGTGACTCACTGTATCAGTACACAGGACCTGATAACAAGTTAGGTGAACCCTTTGGTGTCTGTGTTGATGCATATGACAACATACTGGTTACAGATGTTGATAACCACTGCATACACCTTGTATCCCCAGATGGGAAGTTCATCCAGTACATAGCAACCCAAGATGATGGACTATATAGGCCATGGGGATGTACCATTAACCAGGATGGAGATCTGGTTGTGACTCAAATGAATGGGAAAGTGAAAGTATTCCAATACTTGGAAAAATGGCATCCTATAAAATGCTAAGAAAGTGAACAATATGCACTTTTCTGACATATTTCAAATAATGTGGTAAACAAAACAACAAAGCATCCAAAAAAAAACATAAAGCAAACAAGGCAGCAAAGCTGTCAAATGTACAGACAAAAATTAGAAAATAAGAATGCACAAAATAGGTTCAATTCTGATGCAATGATACATTATGCTTAACTGCAAAGTCATTATATATGTGTGTGTGCGTGTGTGTGTGCGCGCGCGTGCACAACAGGTAATACTGATTAAAGTAAAAGCATAAGACTTCATGCCCATAAGAACTCAAGTTAATTAATACTTAGAAATTTGTCAGAATGAAAAAAAAAGACAATTAAAAAAAAAAAAAATCAATGAAAAATGTTAATCCTATAGAGTTGGTTTTCTTATTTGAGCTGCATGTCAATCATAAATCATTCTTTTAAGTTAAAAAATTGTAAGTAACAGTTTTCTTTTTATCATAACATTTGTGATGACAGTGCACGATTTTGTCAATTTTGCTGCAATATTACATGAAGATTACAAGATGGATGTAATCACATTTGATTAACCATTATTAATGTTTTCAGATAGATGTATTTAAAGGACAGAAAGAGTATTAATTGTAAATTACTAGCCAGTTAATTCACTAATATATCATGTTAAATTCTAGTTATATTTACTGGAAGGAATGAATATTATGTAATTTGACTTTATATTTTATTAATCAATTATTTTTCTTTGCATATACCTGTAATGAGTACTTTCATATAAACAGAATATGATATGATCAAACTAGAAAAGCACTCCGAGAGCTCAGACATCCGCCAAGACAGCAATTTTTTTATTATTATTGATTACTGATTAATGATTGATCTGGATTACCACCAAAAACTAATCATCCGTTTCTTGGCCCACTTCTGACAGTTCCTGAAAATTTTATTAAAATCAGTTCATAACATTTTGAATTATGTTGATGATAAACAAACAGACAAGCAGGTGAAAACATTACATGTACCTCCTTGCTGGAGGTAATTACTCATCTTTGGGTAAATTTAATTAAGCATAATTTTAAATAAAATGGTTTTAACTTTTGTGATATAGAATTTATTTGGTAATAAATTATTAAATTTTATTGTGAAAGGTTTGAGGCTCAAAACTTATTTCAGCAGGAGATTAATTATGATAAGGTTTATTTCAGTTCAAAGCTGAGTGACTGTGGCAGTATTTTATTCACATGTACATGTACTTGAATGAAGTCAAAAGTGATGTGTTGGCATTCATTAGGTGTGTGTGAAACTGATGAGAAAATTACAAGCTATAAATTATTTTTTCATTGATGAAATTTGAGTGGTTTAAATGATGGAGATGGAGACCACTGAATTTCACAAATAATGTTTAAGAAAGCACTTACAATCCAGTTGCTGAGCACAGACAGAGGACAGACAATTAGAGTTGTTCTTGGACCAACACTATGAGTGCGACCATCACTACTGAGGTTGTTGGCACCTGTAATAGTAAATATCATTTACATCAAGTTAAAAACTTATCTGTTACAGATTTGAAGCATTCCTTACATTAGGCTAAAAACTTTTCTGTAACAGATTTGAAGCATTCCTTACATTAGGCTAAAAACTTTTCTGTAACAGATTTGAAGCATTCTTTTCATCAGGCTAAAAAAAATTAAAGGCATACAATGCAGATAAAACAATTATGTTATAGCATAGACTGCTTAAACGGCTTAGATGTCTGGCACACCTACTGAAACGGCTAAACAAAAGTTAATTACCCCCTAGCAGCTTCAGTGGGCGTGACAGACATCTAAGCTGCTTAAGCTGAAAGCAATTTAGCAAGGAACCCCTCAGAGATAGATCGAACCATAGTTAGTACGACAGGGTCTGGGAATGGTCCCATATTGTCACTTACCTGGACTTTTATTTGTAATGTTCTCTTTCACATCCACATCTGGTAGAAAATCTTCATCTATCACTGAAAGTAACATTTGAACATTTGTCTTTAAACTATTCACCATGTCAAAATTCAACACCCAATTTAACAGATGACATTCAAGTCAGGACATTTGTCATATCAAAACAGAACAATAAGGCCACTTTCTCTGCCCAATATTTAATTTTTATTCTTTTTAAAGGGGGTGGTGGGTTTTTCATCGACCATCAATTACCTATGGGAGCAGACACTGTGCCTTTCCTCTTCTTACCACTGGAGACGTCAGCATCAAGATCTGGCAACTCAAGACTTGGCAGGGGTGGTAACTTTGGCAAAAGATGGACTGAAATAAAGCACATATATAGATAAAGCATTATATATAGGATAAAAAAGTGTACATCAAGCACTCAACAAAGTGGAAATGCACTTACATTCAATTTGGCTTTAAAAGAGTGGTTCTTACAACTTGATTCATTCTATTCTATACTCTACAATCAGTGATGAGCAGCTTTGGCTTCAAAAAAAGTCCAAAATCTGCCAGAAAAGTCTCAATACTGTTGTAAGCACTCAAATAAAAGTCAATAACCTGCTGATTATTAAAAAATCTCATCCCTGTGACATACCAGGTATAAAAGGGGCACTCTTCCTCTTCCGTGACTTCTTCAAGCTGAATTCCTGCTTCACACAGATTTACGTGGTTTTTCCCTCTTCAGGGGGTGTGGGGATGTGGCAACTTCAGTCTCCATTCCAACACATGGAGGCACATGAGATTCTGGTGCGGTTGGTTCTGTCTTTGGCCACTTGGACTGGTCAGTTACATTGGTGGTGTGTCCAGTGGACATCTCCACAGGACCTGTACCATGCTTAATATGTCTGGACTGGTAACCTGTGATTGTTTTGGACACACTGGACAACTGAGGCAGTGGCTGTGGTTGACCAGAAGCAATTTTCTCTGGACGCCAGCTTGGCAGGACGGTTCTCTTGAAGGTGGTGTTGGTCAGCTGGAGGGTGGACACACCTGGCTGGTTCTGGACAATGGTAGCTTGATCATTAGTGACGGTAGTGGAGTGTGTGACCACAGGGGCCTCGGATCTCACCCTCATATTCTCCAGTCTCACTGTTAATATAGGACCTGTATACATCTGGTTTATGAACTTCTTTATTTTTCTCAGATGATGCGTCTGCCTGAGCTGGAACAGTACCATGCTGTGGTGGTTCCTTGGACAAGATATTTACAGTAAATTCCTCTGGGACTTGGAACTCCGTGTTGCCCTCCAAGACAGTGGTTGACTTTCTCCCACATTTGGCTACAAAAGAATTCAAATGTATGTGCACATATTGCTATATAATTTAATCTCATAAAACAATGTTAACAACTATTTTATTGTATTAAATGCCTTTAATATCAAGGATGAGACTGGGATTCAGTGAAAAAGTTGAACATTTGGTGCAAGGTCTAGTGGAAACCTCGACCAATGATATTTTAGGCTCCAAAAGTAAGTCACAAATCTGCTGATAAATGGCAAAATCTCATCCCTGAACTACTCTTCAAATCATTAACTATTTCAAAACTGTTCTTTTCCTGAGAAGTAGAAAACTTTAGATGAAATATGAAATATGTTCCATAAGTTTCTTGGTTTGACAGTGTTTGTCCCTCTCTTCAACCCCTTAGTCAGTCTGGTGAAGTACTGTAGTTCCTTATATTAGCTGGCACAAATATCTCTTCTTCATCATATCTGGCAGGCTTCTTGATGTTTCTTTAAACATGAATTACATAATATTTAGTCTCATCAGTGTTTTACAAAGGGACACTTGTGTGCAATATTGCTTGAATGACATAAATACTAATCAAAATGTCAATCTGTGAAGACTGCTTTGAATACAACTTATTTCATATACATCTGAACACAGTGAATAACACATGCAATGTACAAATTCAAATAAAGAAACAAACATATGCAATTAAAATACAAATAAAATTCAAATAATATATAAATAATTAAAATCACCTCTTGGGTCTGCTCCTGACATTAGGGAATGGTGGTTTAGGTACTGGTGCAGACTTGAATCTTCCCCTTCTCCTGGACAGCAGGCTATGTAGAGCTGACTTCTTGGACAGCAGGCTATGTAGAGCTGACTTCCTGCACTATTGGTCTAAGAGTTTTTACCACTCAGTAGGATGTTCAAAATTTAAGAAATTATGACTTAAAAAATACAGTATCTGTAAAATTTACATTTTATCCCCATTGAAAAGATTAATTACTGTATACAGTGGTGGTAAATGGTTAAAATTTCCAAGAAATTAAGTTCTTGATGAAAGTGAAATGCAATAAATATCATGATCATGAAGCCAAAAAAGGAGACAAGTTGTTCAAAATATTTTAATCAATTTTGAAGTTCTTGTACAATGTTACTATTCATGTTTTGGTACAAATCTCTTGTTAATAAAATGTCCTAAATTTACATTAACCAAGTCAAATTAGAGAAATTATTTTTAATATCTTCAAAACATTACCAAATGCTCTATAACTGAATATTTCATAAATGGCAAAAATACTATTGTCCAAAAATATTAAAGTAAATTAAACCTTCAGTCTATTTAATCAGTTCTTTAATCATAATAATTTTTGGACAGACAAATTCAAAAGGGCAAAAGTAGTTTTGATTAAAAAAAACTTTTTCTTCATCTATTTGCCATTATGTATTTTAGAACATTTCTAAAGGGGTAACTGGTAATACATTTTAAATTTTCTATTGCTACGAATAAAATGACTGAATCTCGTCTAATATCATCATCACATAATTTGAGGCAGAAATATGTTAGAACAACAATTTGTGTGTCACCCACTTCTAAATATCTTATAAACTTGTGTCACCAACCAAGCACCTCTCAAACTGAATCAGCTGTACCTAAAAATGTTCTCAAAAATACAAACTTTAAAAAAATAGAAACTGCACAAGCAGTAAACTTTGGGATAATTTGATTCTAATAGTGTGAAGAAATAAAACTGGAGATTAAAAGTAATTTGTGGTTTCAAATAATAGAAAAAATAATCTAAATCCACTAAAATTTTATCTCAAGCACCATATACCTGAAGGCTAAATTGCATCATTACAAAAATGTTTTTGCATTGTTCTTTCCAAACTTCTCTCTCTTCCTTGACCATGCACCTAAAAAATCAGAACATAAGATACAAGAAAACCAAACTTTCTGCAGCTCTGTTTGACAAATTTGAAAGGCTGTCTTAAGTTTTCAGTTCTATGAAAACAAAGTTTTGATATCTGCAATGCGTGTTTCTCTTCGTTGCTCGAACGTCTGCTTCTTCCCAAATGCTCCCTGCATCAGTTTGCGTTTCTTCTCCTGCAGTTCCAACATGCGCTCTTCCACAGAATCCTTTACGACGTACTGAAACGTACGAATCAAACAAATTCTTAGACTCCATGCTGTTACTGATATCTGCTGTGACAGATCTACTTTGGCTGTAGTTCACATATTTCTTTATAAACTTATTTATCAAAATTATTAAATCCATGGTGTAATCTCAACTCTATAAGATTCTGAGAACATTCAGCAATTATTTTACAACATAAAAATTTGTTACATGCATATTTCCATATTCTGTCAACCCTTTCTACTTCAGAGCACAAGGGGGTAACCTTGGCTCTCTCTCCAATTTCACACTGCCTTTCTATCATCTAAGAGGGATATTAGCCCTGTTAATATTTAACAAAGTCGGGTGGAATTCATACCACACCTCAAGGTCATTCCTCAGGAATTACACAATGTAAATGCTACCCATAGCTCTGCGTCATTCTTGAAGGCATTTACAGACAACGTACGTTGTTCTATCCCTGTGTATACCAGATTGTAACTGGCTTTAGATGCATTCATAACAGGGGGCCAACAGATCCATGGATCACATATGGCTGACTCACTTGAATGCCTGGAGTGTAATTCCCATAGGGACTCTATTCAGTGCTAAAAGGGGATTATGTAGCCTCTTAAGTGAGTCGGCCATATTTGATCTGCTGAGATCTGTTGATCACTGTTGTAAATGTGGCATTTTTCTTACCTTTGTGATGATGACATCCTTGGTTTGCCCGAGACGATGACATCTGTCAAAACATTGCTCCTCGGATGCTGGGTTCCAGGCCTGGGGGGAAATAAATAAATAAATAAATAAGTAAATAAATAAATACACAAATAACCAAATAAAAAATAAATAAATAAATAAGAGAGTGGGCTACTGTGAAATAACCAACTTTTTAATGTTTTGTGTCTGAATTACTACGTGTCACACCAGGATTCCAATTATTACAAAGTTTTTATCATATTCAGTCAGCTAAATTATTCTACTGAAAAAGTCTACTTGTACCATTGCAATTGAATGATATACTGCTACAATGACATATATGTTAATTTTAATTAAAATCCTTAATGAATATGTTTTGAACAAGTTACAAATACAACAGAAAATATTAACAAAAGCCATGCTGAAGTATTTACATATTAGTTGTACTGCTAATGAAGAATGGCAAACATCCCTTAAAACTAATAATAATTAAATTGAATTTGTTTTGTGGCAAGTATTGTCTTCCTGTGTTTGTTAAATCTGAAAATCAGAGGAAACAAATTAAGAAAAGAAAAGGGAAAAAATCAGAAAAAAAAAACTTACCGGACCCATCAAGAAAACCCTGGAGGCAGCAGTAAGGTTCAGTCCCATACCTCCAGCCTTCAGTGAGAGGAGGAATATTGTAGGGGCACAAGGGTCAAGGTCAGAGAACTGCTCAATGGCTTGTGTTCTCTTTGCAGCTGTCATGGTGCCATCAAGGCGAGCAAACTTGAACCCAGCAGCTCTGTGGGGGGAAAAAATGTAAGTGAAATTTCTTTATGTAATTACAGTGTTTGTAAATTATAATCCTACTGGGCCCTAAGGGCAGCAGGGACTGAGAATCTACTGGTCCAAAGGAAAAGTGGTTACAAACTGAACAAATCTGGAGCCAAGGCAGTATTACCCTTATTGTACATTGCATTATACAGTTGAAACAAATGACAGGCAAATAGACAATATTTGTCTGATAAATTTTAATAATTTTAATAAGATAAAGAAATGTAAACATTCAACTTTGGCCCCACACCAACTTACTTGAGTGGAGTCTCTAGTACAGTGAGGAAGGAAGTGAATTGCGAGACAACAATACTCTTGGTGGTTGGGTCATCCTTCCCATGGGCGTAACTAGGCATACGCACGGATGCACTGTGCGTACAATTTTTTGGCCAACCATGATATTATTTTATTTTTCACGGAATATAAAAGAAAATCCTCTGCTTATTAAAGTCACCTGTATGTACAAGTCCTCTGTATCAATTGTATAGGCACAATTATTCTGANTTATTCGAAGGGGGTTCCACATATGCGAAGCTAGCCTCCTTTTAAATAAATATACCATTCTGGGTAATAAGAATATTGACACTTTTTTAATTGCGAAAATATTTCTGACTAAATAATGATTTTATTATTAATGGAAATTAAGCTGCGATGTGTGGTACATATGCTGTAATTACGCTGTCCTTCATCTCTTGCGTTAGTCTACATTTTGCTGGGAATTTTAAAAATCTGTGCGTACAATTTTTAAAGGTCTGGTTACGCCTCTGGACTGAACTACCTACTTCTGGGTTATATACACGAACATCAGACCACGTCATCTGACAAGGTGATGATATTTTCTGCCAAGGACGGTGGGGGATGCAAGGGTAACCCATAAAATCACGTCAGTTACATTGTCTTTAGACCGGCCTAAAATGCAGCTAAACGACATTTTAATATGAGTAATATTTACTATGTCACTACATGTACTCATTTATTTGTGAGAAAGTTTTTGAATAAATTATCTGGAAAGAGAAATTGTGAAAATTCCAGTCAGTTCTATATTTCTTTAGTTGTAATCAGCCAATAAACATTTATCAACAATATTCTCCTGATTTATCGAGCATCTGGTGCGCGTTTTTTTTTCTGAATAATACATGTATCATGATTGTATGACCAACAACATTTAAAAATCGTTATCAACTAAAGATCTAGTTGCGGTTTACTACTGGTAGCTTCTTATTTTCCG